AAAAAAAAAAAAAAAAAAAAAAGACTGAACCAATTTAACCCTAGAGAGAGTATGGCAACTCAGACCTCTGTCAAAGACTAAAGGAAATGATCTATAGGACCAGACAGCATCATCCTTTATAATCTTTATATACTCAGATGGTGTTCCATCAAAATTTACAGAAAAAATTTTGAATAAAAGGAAGAAAAAATAGGGTGAGTCCAAAAATGTTACGCAATTTTTGAGACTGTTAAATATTAAACTTTTAAATAACTTCAGTAAATATAAATAAGAGCATGGAAAGTTTTCACAAAGATCTGTATTTATTTTGGGTTTTTTGTTTTTGTTTGTTTGTGTATTAGTGCAGGGTCTACAGGGTCTCACTATGTAGATCATAGTGATTATCCTGTTTTCAGCCTCCCAAGCGCAAGATTACAGTGCACGCCACAATGCCCAATCTCAATCGCCATCTCAGCGCGCCGCTGGGGCAGGGCCGGCATGGCACACTGGGGATCGAATCCTGGTCCCTGTGTCTTCCTAAGCAGGCACTTTAATCTGCTGAGCTATCTGGCCAGCCCACAACTATATTTCTTTAAAATGTCATGTGAAAATTTTTAAACATAAAAATGTAACAGCTGAAAACAATTTGATGAATGAATTTCCCAACACACTACCTGAAGAGGGGATTGGTGACCTTGAAGATAAAGCCCTAGAAAAAGATTCATTCTGAAATGCAAGGAAAAAACAGATGCAAAAAGGGAGGAGCCAAAGCCTCAAAAGTCAGAGGAGTCACAAAGAGACAGACCGAGTAGGCAAAAAATCAGCCAAGAAGTAACAGAACTAAACCAAACTTGTGAAGAAAGGAACGTCACATAAAAACCAGGAACAAGACAAGGATGTTCACTATCTCCACTCCTACTCAATATAGTTCTAGAAACACTAGCCAGAGCAACTAGGTAAGAAAGAGAAATAAAATGAATAATGATAGGAAAGAAAGAAGTGAAAGTATCATTATTTGCAGATGACATGATATATAGAGTACCCCAAAAACTTCACTAAGAGTCTTGTAGACTTAATAACCAAATTCAGTACCATAGCAGGATCCAAAGTCAATACTCAAAATCATTAGCATTTTTGTACACAAACAATGAACCCACGGAGAAAGAAATTAGAGAAAGCATGCCTTTCACAATAGCATTCAAAAAAAAATGAAATACTGCCCGAATAGAGAAAGTGTGAGACAGCAAGGAGAGAAAGAAATATTCCCTAAAACAGTGGTATTAAGTTAAGAAAGGCTGCACAGCAATATTTAAATGGTAAAGTCTGTAAGAAACAATCACAGGATACATAGAATGTTAAACTACAACAAAAGGATATAGGGCTCTGGGAGCAAAGCTGTCGCTGAGGAGTCATGGTGAGGCCGGGGCCCTTTGCAGTGGACGCTGTGGTAGAACGGCAGAAAAGGCTGCAGGAGTGCCTAGCCGCCAAGGGAAAACTGAAGAACCAAAACATCTAAAAGCCAAGAATAATTGTCCAAATCCACCACCTTCTAAATCTACTATTAGACCCCAAAACGATGTTACCAACCATGCTGTTTTGCCTGTCAAAGCTGCAGGGCCTATCAGCTCTAAACTCGAGTCCAGACCAGCTAATATAACAGGGTCCCAGAAGCCAAAGTTAGAGGCACTGACACTTGTGGACAGAAGTCTGACCACCAGAAGTGTTTCTTCTAACTCAAATGTAAGCCTTCCAGCAAAAGTCGCCAGCAGCAGGAAGCTGGATCATCTGCTAAAGAAAAACTGTCAAGAAAGCTCATGAGGTCAGCTGATACACAGGGACTGACAACTAGAAAGCAGCAGATAACAGGTCAGGCCAATCCAAAACATACAGATTCTGTGGGTAACACCCATGTTGAAAGCAAACCTTTTAGGGGCCAGGGAGATGGCTAGGGGCCAGGGAGATGGTTAGGGGCCAGGGAGATGGCTCAGTGGAATAAGTGATTCCCTGGCAAGCCCAAAGGACTGAGTTCAATCCCCGGTTCCACCAAAAAAAAGAAAAAAAGAAAAAAAAAAGAAAGAAAGCAAACCTTCGGATGGCTTGCTCATAAAGCGGAACAAAGAGAACATGCCTCAAACCTTATCAGAACCTAAAAAGCCAGATCCTGTATTATGTAGCACAAACAAGACAAAGATTAACTCCTATAATCAAAGCAAGAATAATTTGACTGTTAAACAAGTTTTGGGCAAAAGTTTGGAGAGTAATGCTATCCTGAAAGACAAGGTTAATAAACAATTTTTTAGAAAAACACAAATAAAGACTCTCCCAGTAAAGTTACAGCCACCTTCTAGAGGAACAGAGCTTGCAAGACCAGAAAAGCCCCCAAGGACAGCTCCCTCTCACTTCATTCAGACCCTTAGTAGGGCTCAAGCATCAAAGAAACCAGTGGTCAAGAACATGAAAGATGTAAAGGTTAACAGGGGTAAATATGAACATTCAAAAGTAACTAAGGCACAGTCATACACTGATATACAGGAGAAAGTAAAACATGCCAACCCCAGGCCTCACCCAATTTCACTACAGGAAGGACCTACCAACCGACATCCAAACATCAAACAAGATCAGAAGACCACACAACCTTGTTTTAGGTTCCAGACAAGTGCACTGCAAAAATCAAAATTCATAAGACAGAGACCTAATTTGACAACCAGCAACTTTAACTCAGTCATTCCAACCACTCCTGGTATAAGGGAAAATAGAGCCAACAGCTTTCAACAAAGAGCACAGACTCTGGACCACAAGTTGAAAAAGACTTTTCCCCCAAAACATTTCCTGAGCAAGACAGCTCCGAAAACTCAAGCTAATATTACAACCAGAAATGGGAGAGGAGTCCCAAAAAGTACCCAAATTAATACCAATATTAAAAAGGTAACAGCAGATGATCGAAGAAAACAGCTAGAAGAATGGCAGAAATCTAAGGGGAAAATCTATAAGTGGCCCTCTGTAGAAATTAAAACAAAAAAAGCCACAAAGAAAATGAATATTTCATTCTGGAAGAGCATGGAAGAAGAAGAGGAAGAAAAAAAAGCAGAGTTGAACTTGTGCAGTAAGATTGACAGCATTCTGGCAGAGTCTCTGAGGCTCACTGAAGAGGGTGTACTTGCTGATGAAATATTTGCCATTTTGTCCAACACTCCCAAGGCTGAAAAATTTACTGAATTCTGGATCTGCAAAGTGAAGCTATTGGCAAGAAAAGGCACCTTTGATGTCACTGGGCCGTACGAAGAGGCCATTAAAAATGGAGCAAAACCAATACAAGCGTTACAGAAAGCTGTTCTGAACATTTTGCAAGATCAAAACAGAGCTACACAAGGAACTGCCTCTGACTCTTTAGTTGCTGCAACTGATACCAGATCAATGGAAGAGCTGGCCAGGAAGATGGAACCTGGGGAGTACTGTCTTCCTGCAGAGGACAAGGATCAAGTTCCAGCAATGCCCCAAATACCTGAGGCAAGACAGGATAATCATCCTGGTATCAAGTTACAGATCTCCTCCATCTCTAGAGTAAGTGGGAGGCTGGAAGTACAAGACATGAAGCTTAGCACTCCTGTGCAGTGTTTAGCAAGGACTGAGTGAGCTGTGTCCCATTACCCAGAAGTACTGCAGGAGCACAACTTGGTGGTGGCTTCTCTTGCCGAACCATTAGAAACGGAAGACACAAGTAGCTGTATATCTAGCCTAACTATTTTGTATGTACAGATACAAAATGGTACTTCTTCTCTTAATTCAATGAGAAGAAAGATTTATGCTAATAGTGTTTGGACAGGAAATCATGTCTGCATCTTGTACTATGAATAACTACTACAAAGACAATAATATGCAATGTATTAATCTGAAACTGTCTTACTGACCTGTTTTGAAACTGTCTCAATGCTATTTGTTTCTCCATAAAATTAATTTAAAAAAAAAGAAATGGAAGAAACAGAGTGCTTTGTATTCCATAAAAATGAAGCCTTGCCTGTAACATTAGGGTTTCAACCCCCTGAATCATAAAATTTCTTGGTTCTTTTTAAACAAAAAACAAAACTAAATTCTTTCAGAGTCTCTATAAGACTCCTTGTCCCGATGATCTGAAATAGCTCATGTAACAGCAAGACATCGTGGATGCAGATTATGGATTCTTGGGATTTAGGAAGTCATTCAGTGGGTTTACTCTTACATTTTATATCCCTGTGGGAAAATCTTTAGTTTATGTGTTTAAGATCATAGTTTGCTACAGTTTTACAACATACATAAATTTCAAAGCATTGAACACAATTTCCCCACCACTGTGGGAGCAATTTGCACTTTAGGAAGTTTTGTAACTTCATTGTAGTTATTTTTTGTATCTGAAGGTTGATCCTGCAGCAGGATGGACTTTCTTTTGGCATCCACCTCAGCAGAGGAGGCATTACTTACAGGTGGAAGAGTGGACATGTGAAACAAGCACTCCAGGCCAGAAGGTCAAAACCCTCATGTTACAGATGAGCTTGGCCTGGCTCCGCCTCCTTCACTCAGTGATCACAATGGAAGTGCACAAGTGACCTTGACTTCTGTCATGGCATGCCTGCTGACAAGGGGTAGTTCTTGTCCTTTCTGGCCCAGGTCTCCTGGAACAAAACACAGCCCTAGATTGGGTGGTCACCTAGCTTTTTATACCAAAACCTAAGTCGGCACTATTATTATTCAGAAACTCAAGTTAAGACAAAATGGGACCAGAGACTGTGACATGTTTTGCTTTTTCTAACTCTTGGGGAAACTGTATTGGGAAAGGCAAAATCAGAGTAATTATGCAAATACAATGTATAGAAAAGCCTACTCAATACATTTCAAATTTCAGCTTAATACTTAAGTACTATTCTTTTAAAAAACAAATTGTTCATCCTTGAAAAAAATAAATAAAATAAAAGCATCTATCAAACTACAATAACAGGACCAGGGCTGTAGCTCAGACACACAAGTGTCTGCCTGGAAAACACAGTTCCTGAGTTCAGTTTCCAACACCAATAAATAAATAAATAAACTGCAATAGCAAGCAATTTTTTAGACAATTCTAGAATTTCTAATAGTATGTCCAAAAATAACAAAACTATATTATAAAATATTTTGTAGTTTCTCAACACTGTGCATAACAATCCATTATTTGTTTTATATTTTATACTTTCTATAGCAGATTTATCTTAGTTACATACCTAGTACATTGAATAGTAGAGGACTAGAAGGAAAAGGTACTTTCAAATGTTTCACTAGGTTGCCCTTACTGATGAAAAGTATGCATATAAAAACATATTTATCATGCAATTGTATTCTGAGAGGTAATAGGTTGCAATCATTCCCACACATAGATATTTTCTCCATGTTTCACTGCACATGAGTTATGTATTAATGAGCTTTTCCCAGATTTCCGTAAGGATATGCTCACATGCCTCTCTTTACTGAAAGCTCGAAAGGCCTGGATCTCATCTTTTTCATCTTCGCAGTCTCTTCACTAGCACCTGGTCATTGTTAGTTCTTAACCAATGTCAGTGAATATATGATCACCTCAAAGACCAGCTTTCTTTGCTTGTCACAAAAATATTATAATACCTGTTAAAATAAATTTCAAGCTCTTAAGGTAAATGTCAGCTTCAACCTGAGCATCAGTGAACAGGTTAGATTCTTTTTCACTTTCAGAATCCAGAGAGCTCTCTTCCCTCCTGTTCACAAAGATTAATAAGCACTTATCATGCTTGACCCACTGCACCTGAAGTCAGGAAAATAGAGCAGTTGTCCAAAGGCCACCCCTGGAGTCCAGCTCTCCACCCTACCATCAAAACCATTTGGAGCCAGTGTCGGTAATGCCTGTTCATAATCCCAGCATTTGTGGAGGCTGAGGCAAGGGGCTCACAAGCTTGGGTCCTGCCTGGGAAACTTAATGAAATACTATCGCAAAAAAACAAAACTAAACTTTAAAAAGGCTAAGGATGTAGGCATGTGGTAGAATGCCAGAGCTCAATCCCTGGTACTGCCTAAAACATAGCTTGGTCAATAAAAATTTATATTTCAGGATTTACAGAATAACTGACACTGAGCAAAGAGATGAAGTACCTAGGAGCGTCAACTTTGCTCACTGGGCAGGCAGAACGTATACGCAAATGTGGAACGAAGAGCCCTCCTCCACATAAAAATACTGAAACTGTACTGGGAGTATTTGCTTAGGTTAGCTGGCTACTCTCTCCCAGAACTAATCAACCATTATTTATAATTTCTCAGGTTGGAAAGTTAGACTAAAAATATCATAACTTTTTAAGAATGACTGAAATCAATTCCTTGTTATTCTCTTTAAGGAAGTTTTCAAACTATGCAAAACTTTTATTATATATAACTATACAAGTATATATAATAATATATCTATATATGCATGGTTACATAAATACATAACTACACAAACTCTTATTATAATATTGTTAAACCAAATTTTACCTGCTTAGATATCCAGAATTCATAGTCTTTTCCCTCATGGTATATTATTAATCACAATTAAATTACTATTAACTGAATATTAACCTTCAAACTTAACTCTTAATTCTATGAATAATTTGAGACTCATTCTACATATGGAGAAACTCAACCCCTTGACACTTTTTTCACTCTTCCCCTTCCCAATTCCAGCTCTCTGTGTCTGATGAATTATTAATCTGTCTTATCTCCCTGGGACTATTCTCTTTACCCAGCTGGGCCCAGAGTAGCCCACTTTCCTTTCAAAAACAAACAAAAATATCTTCCAGGTAGTGCTATATAATACACTAAAAAGTAAATTCTAAACACCTGCCTTTTTGAAGTCCCATATTTCTTTCAGCTGTAGACATTTTTAATCAATTGGCTTTTAATTGGTAATATATTCTCATTGCAAGGAAGTGTAATGAAAAAGCCATTCTTCCCAATCTAGTATCCCAGAATCTTTTTCCCAGAGGTAACATCTCTTGCTGACTTTTTATGTTCTTTCCTAGAGGTGTTCATTAGTAGAGGCAGTGTTTTCAGTCATCAATGGAAGGTCCCGTAGTCCTCTCTCAACATTTTTTACAGTGAAAATGGATACACTTTTTCACTTCTTACGAAAGTTTTATGTATTTCAATTAATAAAATGACATTTGGAAATAGATATACATTATAGACTAGCTAAATCAGGCTAAATAACACAAACACGACCACCCATATCTATTTTTGTGGTAAGAACATCAAAATTGTCTCACAGCAAGTTTCAAGGATATAATGCATTGTCATTAATTACTATGGTTCCCTTTTACCATGATTTTGCTTTCTACAGTTTCAGTTACCTCCAGTCAATTGTGCTCTGAAAATATTAGATGGAAAATTTCCCAAGTCAGGCTGGGAACATAGTTCAGTGGCACCAGCGGCTGTCTGGCAAGTGCAAGGTCCTGAGTTCAATTCCTGGTACCAAAAAGAACATTTCCAAGGCAAACAACATATAACTTTTAAATTGCTTACTGTTCTGAGTGGGATGATAAAATTTAAAGTTTAACACTATTCTGCCCTATCCTGCAAAGGATGTACATCATTCCTCTATGTAGTGTAACTGTATATATTACCTGATCATTAATTGTTTGGTACCCATCTTGTTCATCAGACCAAATGTCACAGTATTGTATTGCTTGTGTCAGGCTGGGGAGATAGCTCAGTGGCATAAGCACCTGCCTGGCAAGTGTAAGGTCTCAAGTTCAAACCCTGGTACAAAAAAAAATAAAAGGAAAAGAGAAGGACTACAATATTGTAGTGCTTATGTCCAAATGATCCTTATTTCACTTAAGATAACCTAAAATTGGAAGTGTAATGATGCTGGCAATTAGTGATATGCCAAAGAGAATCAATCCATAAAATGTCTCCCCTAAATAAGAAAAAGAAAGTTATCGCCTTAAGAAGTAAAAGAAGACATGTATATGAAGTTGCTAATATTGATGTCAGGGAGAGTCTGTGGGTCCAATTCGGCCTGGAGGCTGGCTTGGAGCCCAGTGTGTGAGTGCTGGCCTGGAGGACAGGTCCTACGGCCTGTGTGGCCTTGAGTTTTCCTGCCGCAAGCTGGGACCTGGTGGAGGACACCTCTGTCCACACTATACAGTCCAGGGTAGAAGAGTGAAGTAGTGAATGTAAAACTGTTCCTCCCCTCTCCATTTCCTTAGCTTCTATGAGGATCGTGGGTACTACTTCAAATCGATGTTTCTGTAGGGGAGAGTGCTAGCGTCTTATTCAGTCATCTTTAGGGAAAGGTCTACAGGGTGTTCAGGGTCTCACTACTAGATCGGATTCGTCATGATTCTCCTGTTTACAGCCTCCCAGGAGCTGGGATTAGAGGCCCATACCACCATGCCCTCTCAATTGCCCTCCCAGCGCGCCCCCGGGGGCGGGGCCGGCATGGCAGGCAAAGAGAATGGACTCCAGGCCCCTGCACTTGCTTGCAGGCGCTTTAATCTGCTGAGCTATTTGGCCGGCCCTCAGTCATCTTGCTTATTATGTGCAGATCTTCAGCTAAATACCTGCATTTCCTTTTACTGAACCTGTTTCAATGAAATTACAGGACAGGGATTAAATGGATGAGCTTCTCAAACCAGTGTTTGGAATCAAATCATTTTCAGTCAGGCAACTTCCACATTTAGTTGTAGTCTTGTTTTAGTCCCATTTCTTTCTACTCACCATATCTCCCTTTTGGAATGAAAATATTTGTCTTAGGTCATTGTATGTTAAAATGAGTTTCTTTTCACTTTTACAAGTGCTTACAGCTAAGACTGTGCCTGAGTCCTCAGAGGAGACATCAGAGTTGGACTTTTCAGTAATGTTGAAACAAAGCATCTGAGACTTTGACGACTCTCACAGAGACACTAAAAATATTTTACATAAAAGAGAAGCACATAAGTCTTTTGAGGGCCAGGGACAGAATGCTGTGGTTGATAATTAGATGCCTGGTAAAAACCTTATTCCCTCATAGAAGAGACTTTTGAGAGGTCGATAGAGTACAAGAG